TCTTTGGGAAAGCTTTTCATAGCACCAACGAGGAAATGGTTAGGAGGTCCTGGCGGACACCCATGGTTGTCGCGACGTCTGGGCAGAGCGTTCTGAACTGCTTTGAAGGTGATATAACCAACTGATGCGGCTGCAATGCATATGACGGATGTCTTAATGCGAGGTTCCTGTAAGAACTTGGAGATCTTGTCGCTCATTCGTCTCGACAAGTAGTAGGTTGGGGAAAATACCAGAAGATGGTCGCGGAAGAGATATATTACTTGCTTTATTTACGGGAACGCACGTGTTCTCGGCAACAAAACGCCAATCCTTGGTCCCTGATGGTCAGTGATCGAGATCAAGGTCACATACTAGTCAAAGAGCTCATCCATGAGATCTATCACTATCAATACGCCAATCGATGTATGCCAAAGAAAGGTAACCACGTTGAACCCTGTAAAGAGGAGAGGCGTTACGTACGCCGCCCTTACGACATATTAGGAACTGTAAATCCAGATGGAACCCCCACATCTTCCAGCGGAGCCCAAGCCGACTAACGCACCATCAAGGCCAAAGTGCTTCAGAGTAAAGGATGTTCCGAAGGATTGGGATATAGAAAATCTTCGTCGCGCCCTCGAAACCCTTGATCCCGCCCTCCGCGACCAGGAATACAGGCTTTCGCTCTATCCTGCGTGTTATGGTACAAGTCAAGTCGGTATATTGAATATACCCAACTGTACAAGCTACTTCAGCCAAATTGTTCCGTATAAGCCGTTCCTCCGTACTGTGCTAAATGGGGATTTGACCATCGATTGTGATTTTGACGGGTTTACCCCCTTCAATAATCCAAATGAAATTTACGCGGAGTGAGTTATCAAACAGATCTTATTAGGAGAGCTCATAACCGATACAGTGTCGTTGCCGTAATCGGGCTTGCTGGTCACGCATACGGATCATGGAGAAGTCGCGACAGCGGCCGAATGTGGCTACAAGATTTCCTACCAAGCGATCTACCTGGTGTCCGGATCATGTCATTTGGCTATGATAGCAAGATTGAAGCCAAGCAGACAGATCGGATGTTGGACTATGCTCGGTCGTTTGCGAGTCAGCTTCATAATGTGAGGAGTTCCAAGGAGGTATGGATAGATGATCTGCCTAGCTGAATTTTTGGCTAATCACCGCCTTGTAGGCCCGCTCTCGACCTATTATCTTCCTGGGACATTCTCTTGGGGGTACTCTGATTCTCGAGGTATACACCATCGCCAAGAGCTCTATCCAGTGATAACTCATCTTCTACTAGATCTTGGAAGAAGCACGAACGATCAGGTCTCGATATTCATCCCTTCTCGATACAACCTTTGCTACATTCTTCTTTGGTACTCCTCATCGCGGTTTGCGCACAGAGGAGCTCGAGGCAATGGCAAGAGACTTGATATCGGACGACAACCAAACCCTAGACCTTTTAAGGATGCTGAAATCCGGCTCCGACTTCCTAGCGAGACGACGAAGATCGCTGGCGGACATACTAGCAAAAAAGAAGGTGGTTAGCTTCTATGAGACTCTGGAGAGTGAAGTAGTAAAGAAGGTGAGAGCAACATCAATATTACTGAATTGAATGCAAGCCAATTCACCCAAAGT